GGGGAGAGTCTGCAGGAGTAAAGACAGAGGCAAAGAAGGCATTCAACACCTCTGCCTTCTTTATATCCTCTGTCTCCAGGGCACCCACCTCATTCAGCAGTGGGCCTATACTGCTTCTTGTGTTAGTTTTATTCGCTATGTATTTGAAGAAGCCCTTTCTATTGTCCTTGACCCGGCCTGCCAGATTAAGTTCCAAGGAGGCCTTAGCTGTCCTAATTGCTTCCCTACATCCTCTAACAGCCGTCCTATATTCCTCCCAAGTGGCCAGCCCCTCCTTCCATAATCCATAGATTCTCTTTTTCCGTATGAGTTTGCCCAGCAGTTCCTTGTTTAACCATGCGGGTCTCCTGGCTCCCCTACTTGACTTCCTACTCATTGGGACACTTTGATCCTGAGCTTGGAAGAAGTAGTCCTTGAATGCTGACCAACTATCTTGAGCCCCTTTACCACCTAGTACCCTTTGCCATGATACTTCCCTTAGCAATTGATAGAAGAGGCCAAAGTTTGCCCTTCGGAAATCCAGAATTGTGGCCTTGCTAGGTATTCTATTCCTCCCATACAAGATCCTAAAGTCCACCATCTCATGGTCACTGCAGCCCAGACTGCCATTGACCGTCACTACTTCAACCAGACCCTCCTTGTTGGTGAGTACCAGATCCAGCAGTGCTCCCATCCTAGTTGGTTCGTCCACCATTTGCATTAAGAAGTTATCATCAATGCACTGGAGGAACCTCCTGGACTGTGAATGACTGGCTGTGTAAGTCTTCCAGCAAATATCGGGGTAGTTAAAATCCCCCATAAGGACCAAGGCATGTAGTCGTGAGGCTGCTTTCAGTTGCCTGTAGAAAGCCTCAACTCCTTCGTCCTGATCAGGAGGTCTATAATAGACCCCCACAACTGTGCCACCTGTACCAGCCTGTCCCTTAATTCACACCCACAGACTTTCCAGTTGGTCCTCATCTGCCCCTGGACAGAACTCAATACATTCTAGTCGCTCTTTCACATAAAGAGCAACTCCACTACCTCGCTTTGCTGACCTATCTTTCCTAAAAAGGACATAGCCATCCATGACCACATTCCAGTCATGTGAGCTGTCCCACCATGTCTCTGTAATTGCCACCAGGTTATAACCTTTAGACCGCACACAGACTTCTAACTCCTCCTGTTTATTCCCCATGCTGCGTGCGTTGGTGTACAGGCATTTCAGGGAGCGAGCAGAGCACGCTAGTGGCACCCTTGGAAGGCAGGAGGCCTCCTGGTCTTCATTCATACTAGAACATTGCCCCACTAGTTCAAACCCAGCTACAACCCCCTCGCACTTTGAATCTAACCTAGAGCTCTGTGAGTGAGCTCTGCTAACTCTTGCCCAGGTACCCTTTTTCCCTGTGGGACAGGGTCTAAACAACTACCCTTTCCCTCAAATGAAACAACAGATTGAGAGTTCTCCCTAGTCTGCCATTCTTCAAGCCCTAGCATGTTTCTCTTGGGCTTGTCCCCAACAGGCCCAGTTATCTCCCCTTCCCCCTTCCTACCTAGTTTAAAGCCCTGTCAATGAGCCCTGCTAACTCCTGCCCCAGAAACCTTCTCCCCTTCTGGGACTGATGTATCCCACCTGCCCCCAGCAAACCAGGTGTCTCATATAGCAGCCCATGATTGAAAAACCCAAACCCCTGCCTTTGGCACCAGTCCCGTAGCCATACATTAATCTGCAGTCTCTTCCTATTTATCTCTTCACCTTTGCTTGTAACAGGTATGGAAGCAAACACCACTTGCGCTCCAGACCCTCTAACCAGCCGTCCCAGAGCCCTGAAGTCTCTCTTCATTGCCCTTGCCCTGCTTGTAATAATTTCATCACTGCCAACCTGAAAAAACAGCAGTGGATAGTAGTCAGAGGGCTGCACCAGATCAGAGTTTCCTTTTAACATCGCCAATCTGAGCCCCAGGTAGGCAGCAGACTTCCCTGTGGGATGGATCTGGTCGACAAATGGGCCCTTCTGTTCCCCTCAGAAGGGAGTCACCCACCACAATTACTCTTCTTTTCTTCTTTGTTGAGGAAGTTCTAAGGCATGGGGGTGAGTGACAAGCCCTAGGTGACTCACTAGATAGATCTACCCCTCCATCTCCATTTACCTGGCCCTGTAGTTCCAAGACCTCATTCCTGTTACTCAAGGGCAACTGGGAGGAAGGAAGGGATTGTGAGAGTTTTCACTTACCTCTCCGAGGAGGGACCTCCCTCCATACCTCCTTGTCCCTTAAGTTTACTCCTTCTGTCTGATGGTAGGAGGGAAGGGGATCCATCACTTGTTCAGCCACTTCCCTCTGCCCTTGCCTTAGGCTGTGGCTCCACCAATCAATCTCACTTTCACACTCTCTGATAGCTCTCAACTTTTCTAAGTCCTCCCTCAGTTCAACCACCTGCTTTAGCAGGTCATCTACTTGCTGACACCGCACACAAACGGTGTCACTGGCTCTCTCTGATACAAGTGCCAGGCTCAGGCATTCACTGCAGCCAGAGACCTGCACGGCCGCATGTCTGCAGGAAGGCTCAGTCTGGGTACCCACGTTATTCCTCACTACAGGTTTTGATCGAGTGGTGACCATGATCTGTCTGGTCGATCGGTCCGTCTACGTCTCTCCGCAGAAGCAAGCAATCCTTCCTCCTCCTGCGCTCCAGGCGAGCCCTCTTGATCAGGCAGTCACCCCACTCGCCTGCCCCCACAAACTGCCTTGACCCGCTCTGTTCACCGCGCTCCCTGTGCAGGTTTTCAACCGCTCACAGCTGCCGCCGAGCCTGCTGGCTCCGCCCCCGGTGAGTCCCTGCTCGCGAGAGCTGAGCTGCCGGCTCCTGCACAAGTCCTGTTGAGGACTTGAGGCTCCCTCCTCGATGGCTTTTGTCGCTCGGAGTTGAGGCTCTTGGACGCTGATCTCTCCCCGCTCCACTCCGATGTTGCAGGCGTCCTCTCTCAAGCTACTCACCTCAGCAATTGACTGAGCAAATTATTTATCTTCCAGAAGGGAGTAACTTAAAAAATCCAACACTTTGGCTTCAGTTTGCACGCACCTTCCTATCAAATGCACTTAGAGAGGAAAAAATTCTTTTCAGCACCATGTGAAGAGCAGGAATATTTTAGTGGAGAGATTTGGTTCCTTTTGACCTACTACCACCTTTGGAAGATCACATGACATATATAAAGTTGGTTATCAATCCTTTTCTTCAGAATCTCCTCATAAAAACATGCATAGCTCTTGGCATCAGGATTATAGTCGCTTGGAACAAAACCCAATATTCACCTTTTGATATTTCAACATTCCCTCAATATCAGGATGCAAATTTAAGTCTTACTTTTGCTTGTCTTATTGATTTTATGTATAAGTGGACATAGAAGGGATTACCTGCATAAAAAAAATCTGTTGCTCACTATGAGGAAGGGTAAGAGCATTAGTTTCTCTGGTTGTTCCTCAGCATCAGGTGCTGGTATTTATCCCAGCTACAATTAGAAAGTTGTGCTGAGAGTGAATGTGGTACAGTGACTCCAGCTTTGTTAGTGCATCTCTAATGAGGAAACCGTTGCATATTCAATTTCTATTATAGATCTAGTAATTATGGCTGCCATTGGTCCCAGGCACTATAATTAATATTATAACTGACAGTTATAATCTTATTTTCACTCACTTGCAACATTTGAAAAATGACTGTCTCGGACGAATGTTCTCTTCATTTTTTTTTTCTTTGCCTATGCATAAATTATTTTGGAAAGACTTGTGAAAAAGTAATTTTTGTTTAATTCTATTTTGGATAATGTTGAGAAATTCTTTTCTCATATTACTAAAGATGTTTTCCCTCTCACTCCACCTGCAAGTTCTGCAGGGAGTGTTCTATAGCTAACTGGATGGCTGTGTCGCTAGAAGCTGCTGGCTGGTCTTTGAGGTTGTTCCCAGACAGTGTGTGAATAGACATGAATAGCTGGTGAGTCTAATTGGAGATGCCTGCAAGAGAAAGCTGTTTAGTCTACAGCTTCTCTGAAACAACTGCAACTGCCTATGTCTCTTCCCTGGGAATCCTGAGAGTTGGTAGTGAGAGGCAGATCTGCTGTGAATAACACCTCTTCCCTTTCTTCTCCTATATCCTTATTTAAGCTGTCTCTGCAGAGCTAGGCCAAAGCATGTAAGATATTAAATATATAGGGAGTTGTTTAGATACCCTTTAGCTGTCTGTACCCGAAACCCTGTGCCTTATCTGTCATTTATATGCCTCAGGTTGAGACAGTATAGAAGTAGTGGTGATGGACTGCTGCATTTTGGGAGCTTATGGAAATAAGATTTATGACTCTAAATATGTGGTCTTGCCATCATACTCAGAGCAGACTTCCATACAGTTTAAGTGTGGGCTTGTATAACTGATTGGTACGGGAGAGACAAGCAGTTGCTCAGTACAGCTTTTGGGCACACAGTAGGAGAAAGTAAGGAACAGTTCAAGATGAGATTGTGAGATCCCAGTTTGATGGGTTAATGTAGAACATCACAGCGAGACATGTCCTTAGTGTGTGGAACAAAAGGCTTTAGGCATTTAGTTTGGTTTAGTTAAGTAACCACTACCAGCTGCAGGACCAAACAGTAGCAGTCCAGTTCTTCCTGTGTTTAGTTATTCCTTAGACCAAGCATATGGTTTCTCTGTCAGAACTTGATGGTACTTGTGGTCACAGATATGTGCAAATACTTACTTGTTTTTCTAAGAAGGTGCCTTTTACTACTGTTCATCAGCAGTTTTTACCTAATTTAGCAACTCATTGGTGAAAGTCTATATAACAGAGCTTAAAATGTTCTCGTTTCTTTAGCCCAATAAATAATAAATGGAAGAACCTCACTAGAGCTAGTAATTTACAGGTGGATATTGCCACAGATACTTATATTTAAGCACTGTATGCATGTCTTAGTTAAACTACATTTGCCCTGTGTTCCTGTAGCACCCTTGAACCATTTCTCTTCATTTTGTTTCTTAGGTACCCCACTTCTAGTTCGAAGGAGCAGTGATCCATCTTTGGGCCCACCTGCTGACTTCCACCCCAGTGCTTCTCATCCCAGCGACCACAGTCTCAAGCATGTTGTAGCAGTAGGTGTCATGTAATTCACCTTTTTTTTAAAGGCAAAACCTGTTCTTACCTTTTGGTGTATAGCAGTTTTACAAGCTATGTCTGTACTTGTATCTAAAACAAGTGCATCATGCTCATTTTCTGTAAGGGATAGAATTTCTTATGGACAAAATGGCTGGTTTAGATTATACAGTCAACTAACGGTGGTTCTCTTTTTTAAAAATAAGACATTCACATAAAGCTCATTGGTGACATAAGGCACTGGAATATGAACCTAGCAATTATGTATTTGTTCAGTATCCTTTTGTCCAGTTCACCACTGTGTAGTGGGAAAAATGTGTTTCCCTGTTAGTATGCATCATCTGTCTTTCCACGCTTTTCCACTTCCCTTGTTTTCTCATGGCATTTCTGTCTTCCTTTAGCACCCTACTACTATCCTCCATGGTCTCTTCTCTCTCTTGCTTTTCTGTTTTGCAGCCTGACTTCCCTTGGAGACAAATTTGTTTTCAACAAATAGTTCTTACTAAATATTAGTGCAAAGACACTACTAGAGAGGATGTAGTAACTCTTAATTAGATGTTATTGCAGTCTGCATTAAATCTAAAAATGATAATGTCTTTGTCAGGCTTGTGGCACATTTTTTATTTGAGTTTTAAGGCCTGAAGCTTTGTGTTTGTGTGTGGGGAAGGTGTTGCTATGTTACTTGTAAAAAGATGAAATTCTTTGTACTTTCTCAATGTCAGCTGAGATACATAAGTGCATCAAACAGCATAAAGCTTTATCATAGACTTGATGTTTGCCTAGAAAGATTTCAGATCTGCTTCTGCACTAGATCGCAACTAGTTTATAGCAAAATTCCACAGATGGCTGTATTGGCACACTAGGAAGCAAGAGGAAAGAACTGGGGATCAGCGACACATGCTGGTGGTGGAAACCTTCTCAGCTGAAGGTGTATTAAGGATCATACTTCTGGTTAAGATTGTGTGAGTGAAGTAGTAAATAGAAAGTCAGATTATGTATGAATAATGTTCAGCGGATCTCAGTCTTAACTGGTCTTCTGAAGGCCAACACAGGATTTTAGCCAACTGTCATTTCTCTCTACATGGCCAAATGTATGTGCATCTAAATATTTAGTGTGCCTCTTATTTTACAATGGCTTATGTTATTTGCTAAGTGGTGTAATTTTAAACCTTCTAGTGGCTCTCCATGTGCATTATGGTGTTACAGGGAGCTGAACTTTGTCCAAGTCCCATGTCACTTGTCAGACCTATTTGAGCTGAGAGGTTTTTCTTGATGTTTGCTGAAAGCACTCACATATTAATGAAATACTGACTTAGTCTGACAAATAAAAGTACAAAGAAGAATTCCTGGTTAACAATGCAGATCTTCCTCTCTTTGCAAAGTTGAGATGTGTAAAGTGAGTATGTCAATGTGTGATGCTGACCTCTGGTGTATTATAATCATGGGACAAAAAAAAAAAAAAGTGGAAAAATTGGTGAAATTTGTTGCATTCCAGGTCATGTTTTGAATGTTTTATTTTTGGCCATAAAGGAGAGGAAGATAGGTTTTTGTTGGTTTGCTGGGTTTTCTTTAAATACCGTATTAGTGGTGACAAGTGTATTTTATACCATTATATGAGGATTGCAGTTAGACCTGGAAGCTAAACTCTCACCATGCTTCACTGACTTGCATCAGTGCACAAGGATCCTCTAGGCTGAAAGGGATTCTCTGTGCCTAAAATAGAGAGTATTCCTCTGTCAGCTGCAAGGTAACAGTCAAAGCTGGACAGGTAACTGTGGAGAAGGCTCTTGGGTCTTTTTGAAATGCCATGTAAGGGCCGGGGGGAAGGCCCAGAGGGTTGAAAGTTTTCATTGTTAAAGTAAAAATCTGTTACAGCAAAATACATTACACCAGCTCTTATTTTTGCAACAGTGCCATTTATAAACCCCTCATTCTCAATCATGCTGAAATATGCTTTGGCATAATGTTTTGGGAAGCACAGAAAGCTTAAACAACATAGGTTAAATTAGGTACAGATTGTTTTAAAACACAGGGAAGAATCAATACCTGACAACTGAAAAAACATGGCACAAACAACTGAACACTGCATTTTGAATATAGCTGTGCTCTTTCATGCAGGTGTTAAAGCAATATTTAGAGAAGATTAATTTGTTCCATATATTGCTGCTGGAAATGTAAAATTAATACTGCATTTCGTTTGCCACAAACATGAGGGTTTTTTCACATTAAACTGCTTCCTTGCAGTCACATGCAAGTTAGAAAAACCAGAGTTGTGGGTAGACAAAACAATTTTCAGTGTGTGTAGTAAAAATGAAGTCTCTGTATTTATTCCCCAATTATCTTAGCAATCATTTTGTAATTGAAATTGTCTTCCATAATTACCATAATTGTTTTGGCACTTCTGGCAATTTGGTGTTTGGCACATGTAGAACTGGCAGTTTGGCTCTCTGTAGAAAGAGTTGCAGTTAGATTGTGTGCTCTCTTATACAGTACATACTGGTTCTCCAGTAGTTGATCACTTTCTTGAGAGGTGGTTATGATCTGAATCTCTGAAGACAGCACTGATTTATTTCTATGAGGGTATGATAAGTAATGCCTAAAATAGAGCAGCGAACATGCAGTAATAGAAGAGCATTGCTACCCAGTTCAGGTGAACAGGGTGAAGCTGATGAACCATTTGAACCATTACCATTCACAGTATTTATAGAATCTAAGCAGAGCACATACTCTGTTTTTAAGATGTTGTCCCATTCATTCAAAGGAAGATTTTAATTTTTTTTCATGCCATATGGTGATTACCAAAATTACAGAATCTTTGCTGAGTGACCAGGTAGCTTGAGAAGAATTAGAGCTATTCCTTCATATCTTCTCTGATGCTTATTTTGTCTTAGCTGTAGTTTTTAGTCCCAATTAACAAAATACTTCTAGATCAGTCAAAAACTGATAGTGAAGTCCAGCATCTGTTCTCTCAGATTGGAAGTCATTTAACAGATGGTACAAAATTGGAGTATCTTTTTTCTCCCAAACCTCTCTTCCTTACCATGATAGCTGCCACTGAAAAATTTGGAGTCTACAATCAAAGAAAAATAGGGATAACAAATATCTGAATTTGTTACTGAAGAAAAGGTATTAGTGAATGTATTAATTTATGAAGGCAACTGTTAAACTCTTCTGTCTAGTTATAATCACAGAGCCCTGGCCAGGCTCTCAAAGCAGAAACTTCCCTCCCTGGGCCTCCAGAGAGGACCTCAGGAAAGCATGACTATTTTAAAACACTTTGATGTGTTGGGTGGCCGTGGGTTTGCTATGGCAGTAGCCAAATGCTGGCCCAGCTGCTTTTTGGCTGTGAATGGCCTGGCTTCAGAAAGTGGGGTTAGCAATAGGCCATGAAGTCTTCAACCAGGGATCTACCCTGGAGAGAGGCCATGCTTCATGATTGAAAGGGTCAAAGCCTTTCAGAGGAAAGAAGCATTCTTTGGCCACTTAGCACTTGTCCCCAGCTTGCTGAGAGAAGCTGCAGTTTCAGATTTTCAGCACTGACTCAGAAGTTTCTAGCTGGATCCCTCTACCCAAGCTCTAAACCGATAAAGACAAGATATGCAGCAAGTCTGAATTATGAGGTTCTGCTGGTTTGGTTTTGAACTTTTTAGGGAGCAGAGTGCATTTTGCTGCTTTTGCTCAGGCCAGTTCATCCAGGTAATAATTGCTAAGGTATAATTAAAACATCTGAACTTTCTGGGGATGATTCTTCAGCTTGTCTCTCTTTGTCCAGGGACAGACTTCCCTACTATCATAAGACATGATCAGATGTTTTAGATGGAGAATTGTGGTTGATGGGAGTTTTGCATTAATTCTGCTGGGACTAAGGTTTTATCCCCTCTTGTTAACTTGCTGATTATTATGGGGATGCTATGTTCTGCATGACTTTCTTTTCTAGTTGCATCTTTTCTGGATAAATACTTAGTTTAACTTGGAGTTAATCAATGCTAATGCCTGATCAAATTGAATTTATCCATATTTAAGATACAATGAGATGCTGGATCAATTGAAGAGCTGCTCCAGTGGCTCAATATCATTTCAATTTTTACCTAGATGTGTCTTGAAATTGACTGTATTTTATGCATTGTGGACATATAATTTGCAATTTTGGATAGGGCTCATGTATAATCAGAACATTTTTATGCTTCAAGCCCTTGTTAAAAAAGGTCAAAACCTCCTCTGGTTCTTCTGGCCATTAATTGTGTTTGTAATGTATTAGCCTTCCTGATTAAGTGTCTGCAGATTAGCATAATGTGAGTGTGTGTGAGGATGCAGCTCCACGGATTGTGCCTTCTACGTGCTGTTTCAGGTACATATGTAAACATAAATGCTGCAATCAGAGCTTGGTTTTGAGAGAAATATTATCAGTTGTACTTTCAAAGTGTGTGGGGTTTTATTACAAGAAAGAGGCAGAAATATTAATTCATCTAACAAAGCTATTTAAAAGCAGGGCAGAGCACAAAAGGTCTTTTTTGATACAGTGATGGGATAATGCTGTAGAGTCTATAAGTTGTGTTGATCCAGTAGGTTTCTGCTAAGGCCTGAACTAAGAGACTGCACTGCCATGAGGGTGGTATTGTCTGTCTGATTTCAGGAGGTAAAACTTTTGTCCAGTATTGTTTACTCACCCTGACTAGGTCAGGTAGCTCTAATTTCTGGTCCCTTTGCATGTGTTAGAATTTCAATATGAAATTCTCCCATAGGTATGTGATAGAATCACAGAATAGTGGGCTGGAAGGGTCCAATCTCACTGCCATGACCAGGAACATCTTTAAGCAGATGAGGTTGCCCAGAACCACATCAGACCTGACCTTGAATGTCTCCAAGGATGGGTCATCTGCCCCCTTGCTGGGCAACTTGTGCCAGTGTTTTACTACCCTCATTGTAAAGAATTTCTTCCTCACATCCAGCCTGGATCTCCCCTTTTTTAATTTAAAACCATTGCCCTCATCCTGTCGCA